GTCCATATGAGACAGCTCCAGCCGTCCATATGAGACAGCTCCAGCCGTCCATCTGAGACAGCTCCGGCCGTCCATCTGAGACAGCTCCAGCCGTCCATCTGAGACAGCTCCGGCCGTCCATCTGAGACAGCTCCAGCCGTCCATCTGAGACAGCTCCAACCGTCCATCTGAGACAGCTCCAGCCGTCCATCTGAGACAGCTCCAGCCGTCCATCTGAGATAGCTCCAGCCGTCCATCCGAGACAGATCCAGCCGGCTATCTGAGACAGCTCCAGCCGTCCATCTGGGACAGCTCCAGCCGTCCATCTGAGACAGCTCCAGCCGTCCATCTGAGACAGCTCCAGCCGTCCATCCGAGACAGCTCCAGCCGTCCATCTGAGACAGTCCAAGCCGTCCATCTGAGACAGCTCCACCCGTTCATCTGATGCACCCCCATATAGAGCCAAACATAGTTTCACGGACCCTTAGACCTCTTCATCTATCGTGTTGTTATCACCCCGCTACGACCGGTAAGTTCTCCGGCCGTCGCCAGTATACCAGTGGTCAGCTACGTGTCACTGTTGTGTTACGACATGTCTTGAAACACTAACAGCTGACGACGATCCACGGTCCAAGCGCACTCGAAATAGTGACACCACTGGTCCTGGGAACAGCCAATGGGGCCTGGGAACAGCCACTGGTCCTGGGAACAGCCACTGGTCCTGGGAACAGCCACTGGGGCCTGGGGATTCGTTTGCTGTTTATTTTCTATCATGGACATGAAGCAGTTCATGATATGATGAGTGGATTGGTATTAAAGCGGAACGCTTAAATATGAGCGCCTCTCCCAACAATAGCAAAATACAGCCGTCGCCGCTAGGGGACCTACGGCCTATCGCTGGCTCGTCCGATTTGCAAGCTGAGACGTGCCGGGCGTGCGCCACCGCCCCGGTTTACACATATAGCCGTCTCCGGCCGGCGGCGACGCCCGGCGCGGTAACGCCACTCAGTCGCCCGTCCGCTGCCCGCGCCCGCTGGAAGTTCTTAGCCGAATCGTTTGGTTTGACAAAGAAATGCTTGCAGAAATTTGCTATTTGCTGCCCGGTGTAATTTGGGGAACCGTCTCCTCTGAGATAGATGCTGAGTTGCTCGTTGTGAGCGACCTGTCAAAAGTTTTGGGATGATGCGATCTGTTTTACGTGAAATTGAAATTCTGATTTGATGATAGCGAGGGCAGTTCAATAACGTAGTGTATTTAGTGTACAAAAGTGTACAAAAAACGTAGTGTTTAGGGTATTCATAAAGCTGACCAAACAACCAAAAGAGACCAGGTGTTATTGGATTTTGAATTTGGAACATGTCAGCATGAAGGTTCGACATTACCAACCTCAGTCTAGCATTTAGGATGTTACCAAGCCTGGATCTAATGCTATGATACATTGGAGGTGCAGCCACACCGCAGCGTTGGTATATTTCCCTTTTTTAACGGGAGGGCTGGAGGGATGGCAGTTCAAGCGAGAGGGGATCATCTTTGCGTGGTCGATGAGATGTAGGAGTTTCGGTATGTTGTGGTTCTGTTCGGTGGCAATGTGAGTGTCCTTGTATTGTGTAGCGAGCGTCCTTTTGCGAGTGCTTGTGTGTCAGTTGGAAGTGCAAAGACGTTGTTGGCAGGTGATGTTGATTGTGGATGGGGGCGTGGAACAGTGCCAGTTTGTGCATGTCTCTTCGTGACTTGAGAGTGTTCCTTCCTAAATCGTCCAACAGTGTGCGAATGTGTATTCTGTACAGTGTACCAGTGATTAGTCTGGCTACTCGGTGCTGCAGTCCTTTAAGCTTAGGGAAGCCGTTGGTGTATGTGTCAGGCCAGGCGTTTGTGGCTTGTAACGGAAGCAGTTCTTTGGCCACCAAAAGCCAACTGCGGTGGGTTTGTGTGTTTCTGTTGGTGAATGTTTGTTGAATTGTTCTCGTGGCGTTGAACGAGATGATACAGTCTTTACCGAACTCTTGTATGCCATGTAAGTCGCGCTGGAGTGACGCTCGCGTGGCGGCTGGGTCGTGTTAGTTTGCTGTATTTAGTGTGGTATCCTCGGCAAAGAGCAATATGCCGTTGTCAGGCTTAGGGGAAGGGAATTCAGGAATACGTGCCCCCCAGTATGCCAAAATGTCTTTTTGTTATATGTTTTCTCGTAAACTTACCGCTTTTCACACTTTCAACCGCTAATACACGATTTCTGGGAATGTGCCCCTCCAATTCAAATTGTCGCCTGTTCCTATAGATCTCAAACTTACTTTCTCCCAATCTGTCCCAACGTGGCTTTACCAATAAGACTGAAGAGAACAATAATCCGAATAATATTTCGACATCTGCAGACGCCCTGTCACAAAATCTCCGCAAAACCATTTTGGATTTTCTTAACTTGCTGAAGGATCAGGCTGCAGAGATGTCTGTGGAGTAGAGGATGCTGATCACCTTAAACTAAAAATGCACATGAACTCTCGGCAGCGCGACTCGAAAGTGGCCCAGAATAAAGTTTAGCCAGCTAAAGAATTGGAGAGATTGAACGAGCCTGACATGCACGGCGACACGGCTCTAGACCACTGATTAACTCAGGAGCGAGGGAAGCTGTCCAAAATTTGCGGGAGGAGGCGAGGTTCAAAGGCGCTCTTTATCGCCTCTTTACATGCACCGCCAAAGGCTCAGTGCTGAATCATCCCAAATGTTGGTGACTCGAGCCACCAAAGCTTCCGCATAACAGTCTTAGTTTCCACGTCTCAGGTTTAAGCCTTCGTTTCCTTACCATATTTGCTAGAGTTGTTGCGCTAGCAGACAAAGAAGTGCTTTTTTACAAAAAGTGTAATTCTTTCCATCTAAAGGTACTTTCTGTTCAAAGTACCTCTCTGTTGTCTTGGTGATTGATCGTTGGGGCTGTGCGGCGATTCAGTTACTGAGGCTAAATAACGTCACCTGCCTCTCACCATGGCAAGAAGCCGGGACCGCGGGGAATCGAACCCCGTACCTCTGGTTTTTCAAACGGGCACTGGGCTATTGGCACCCGCTTCATTGTTCGGCACACCGTGACTGTCTTAAAGCTATTGGCAGACATTCATTGGATGTTTTTACGTCACTAAGAGAGCTTCCACCCAAACCTGAGGCCTCGAATTTCTCCGACGAGGGCAGCTGAACTTGGGGGCACTCGGGTTCTTAAGCGCCCCTATAGCTACTTGGAGGTCTGTGACTTCCAAAACCTCCTGCTGGGCACTAAGAGGACCTCGAAATCACTTGGCGGCTCTTTGGCCGCTCAGGTATCGCGCTAATCGCACAGGGACCTCCAGTGGCACAGGTAGGGGATGCACAGGGCGCACGTATCACCCCCCCCCCCCCTTAGGGTCTCTCAGGACAAACGAACAGACGACCGAAGGACCCAGAGGTCGTGTTAGGGGTCCAGGCGCTTCAGCCCGGGCTCTCAAGTGTCTGTCAGAGAGCCTCCCATTACGCCAATGGTGGGCCTCCAGGGTCGATGAGGGCCTCTACGTCGATCAAGAACCCCAGTGGCGTACAGTGGGCTTCGTGTCAGTTTGGATCTATGGAAGCATTTCCCCAGAATGAAAAAGACCGGGAACGAAATGTGCATAGGTCGAGACCTCTGAAACAATGAGGGACCCCTTTTTTGGTCAGGTGCTTAGGCTGTCTGACAGAGGCTCCCGTGTTGGTGTTTGGCCCCCGAGTCCGCCAGGGGCAGTGTTCGAGGGAACCCGACCATGGGCCCAAGGGCCATTCAGAAGCGACAGTTAGTGCCCCGAGTGGACCAGAAGTGGTGTTCGAGAGAGCCCAAACGGCTGGCCGAAGAAAGCACTAAGAGGCTTTGCCCGTAGCGCCTGGTACTCATATGCCAGTCAGAGAGCACTTCGTGTGCATGGAGGCCCTCTGAGTCGATGAGGGCCTCTATACAAGCTAAGCACCAGCAGTAGCGAACAGTCGAATCCGTGTCGGTGTGAGCCTTATTTGCTCTTTTCACGGGTATGGACAGGGCAGGTGCCCGATATTCACATCGGTCGGAGTGCATTCAACAATGGGGGATGCTTGCGTGGGTCAGGGCCCGCTGTGCCTAACCGGGGTTCTTATGTCTGTTAGAAGCCCCGAGTCAGCCATTAAAACACTTGTTGAACAGGAACATGGACGGCAACCGGAATGTCAGAGAACCTCCCGAGTTGATCGAAATCTTCTGGTAGTGAAATGAAAGGCAGTCAGCCAGTGGCCAGTACCGAACGAGCCCTCTCCGCGAATAGATGTCTAATTTTCAGCAACCAAAGATGGATAAACTAAAAATTTGCGGGAAGCAGGCAACCTTAAATGGAATATGCATCACCGGTGTACGGCACCAACTTATACGCCTCCATCTTGTCATATTGTTCGATTAGCACCGAACCGCAAGCTCAGCAGTGTGTGGCTCAGATGGCGCTACGAGCCTGCTATAGGCGGCGGTGGTATCCGTTTGCTATCGGTTTTGTTGGAGTGGTTGCAATCAATGGAGGTGAGGGATATCCCCCCTCCTTATGTTCCCGCAATGAATTTTTCTCCCAATTTTATCTAAATTAATTGATAATGAACTGAAATTTCTCAGTTTTTCAATTGAAAAATGCAATTTTCAGGTCACACCGTCTCACCAGACTCCTGCTTCAACCCAAGCGTCGATTTGTACTCCCTTGCAAGGGCTCTCGCCCTCCAATGTTGTATCGATTCCCTTAATATTGGTTTAGGGTTCTCCAATATTTGATACATTTATTTTCCGCTTCTTAAACTATCATTCTCAGCGGATCATGAATGACACTCAAATGTCCCATACAATTTGTAATTTGCTAGCATGCTCTTCAAACTTACAAAAGCCTTTGCGCAGAACTAAGTTTGCTTTTTTGTGATATCTATTGTAATTCATAAAATCAAATTTTTCAACCAATAGTTATGTGTTGCATTGAATAGGAACTGCTAAAGCCTGTTGCTGTTTTGGTTCACCAAAGCTTGATATATTTCATGTTTGTTAAAAAACAGCGCTGCTCTTCCTTTGGTAACCATGGCTCCTGCAAAGGCGAAATCCACGGGTAACTAATCGTATATTCCTGTCCTCTACTCATAGGAATGTCCTGATATTGGTTTTGTATGGGTCCAGTATAAAATTGATGGAACTGGCGCTCATTTTTGTGCGTTGTGTTATAGCGTTTCAGGCATTTCTGGGGTGGGATATGCGCGTTGGTTACGTCCGTCGTGCGCGGTATTTGGGTCGGTAGCCGATATTAATGCCTTAGCTGCCTGGTGTTGACTTGCATTATTTACGTATTTGGCTTGAACAGTATAGGTGTATTGATTTTTTGCTCATTCTACTTTATAAAGCTTGTATTGGAATTGTGGGAGTTAGATATTCTTGTTAGATATCTTGAGTACACATGATTCTGGTACCTTAGCGGTGTAGTGTAGTGCCATTCCGTTCTTGTGTGTGAATCTGATCTCTGGGTGTTGTATTCATGTTGCCATTCATAATGTGTTTTCCTGACTGCTCAGGCAAGAAGAAGCCTTCTGCTGAGAAGAAGAAGGCTGAGGCTCCCATTGCAGAGGTTCCTGCAGAGCCTCCCAAGCCAGCTGAGCCCAAGAAAGTACAGGCTCAGAAGCCTACTAACAAGAATGCTAAGAAGGGGGCTGTTAAGAAGGCACTTTCTGCCCAGAAGAGGGTGAGTTGCTGCAGATACAGACTGTCATTTGTCATGTATGCACATCCAAGACATGCTGTGGTGATTGAGGGTGCATGCCTAGTATTGGTCTAGACCAGTGTATTGCATGCATAAAACACATGCAGTTCAATTTTAAGGCACCAGAGAAAGTCAGTTGTTGCCTGGCCAAGAGCAGTTGTGTGGTTTCGCTTGTTTGGTGCTGTTAAAGTAGCATGTGGAGCTGCTCATGGCAAAGTGTGATGGAAATAGTGTGTTAGAATCATCTTAACTGCCTATGCAAACTCCTTGTACCATTATTCATGTCCACTACTATCTTGCTTGGTACTACCTTTAGAATGTGATGGGTGCCAGCTTTGATGTGCCCAGCTACAATAATACAGGTACCACTGAACATGTCCACTATGGTAGTGGTATCCCATTAAGAGTTTCAAAGCATTCTCACCATGCATCTTAGTGCCCTGAGGTTATCTTGCAATCCTTTCCAATTTAGTGCATGGAAAACCAATGAGTCAAAGCCTTAAGTATCTAAGCCATTTTAAAGTTGTTCCAACAAACCTTGAAATGTTGCTAAAGCAGGAAACTGGGAGGGTAGCAAAGTACGAAATGTCAGCACACATTTGCACTAGGTTTATCACACTGCTGTAAAACAAGCATCCAGTGCTGTGGCTGAATTTTTCAAGACTGAATTGCACAAACATACCATTCCATGTGACTCACCATCTTTATGTAGCCTTTCATTTACACAAGCAACTGCCACCACATATAGGATAGGAAGGTCTATAGCAGGACAAATGTCTGGTTAGCAGGTGATTGTTTTTTTCCAAGCATGTCTTTAAGTAAGAACCACCATCAATTTCAGGAAATTGAGGGATTGCCTTAATTTGTCAATGCAAATGGTCTCACTTTGTGTCAGCTTGGGACCTAGGGAGTGTGAAATTCTGGCACAGGCAGCCTTTTACATCTTTGTGGGATTAGTGTGGCATATTTTTGTCTTAGCAGACTTCCAGTTGGATTTTGCATTTGTGTCTTATCCCCCAGTTCTTGTTTACTCCCAAATGTTTTGCCTGGGGAATTATTGCTGGCATACATACACTGTGTCATGCTGTGACTCATGTTAAATTTATCTTCCCGATTATGATACAGGTCATCAAGGGTCAACAGTACCAGATATATTGCATTGCCACATGCCATGACTCATCATACACATTATGTTATAGCCTGTTATTTGTGTTTCAGATCATCAAGGGCCCTCATGGAACAAGGGTGCGGAAAATCCGGACTTCAGTGAAATGGAGGACTCCCAAGACTCTGAAGATGCCCAAGAATCCTAAATATCCGCAGAGATCTGTTCCTCGGAGAAACAGGTCAGTATTGGTCATGGAACAAATGTACTTGTACAGGACATTCCAGACAGCAGTGGATGTTATGGGCCGGGCAATTTGAGGGGACAGGGATCCAGTTGTAACTGGGCCTCTACTAGCTGATAAAATCATCTCAACAGAAGGTATCATGACACGTGGAATGTTTCACTGGTATCTGGTGTACCCTGAATGCACCTGAGGTTGCTGCATGCAGCATGACTATTGACAGACCATGCCCATCATAAACATCCAGGAGACCATGGAGAGGGTGTACTATATTGTTCTAATACCTGTATGGATGACACCAGCAGGCATCAGCTTTCAATGCTACTGACCATGCAGCTTCCTGCATCAATGCAACCTCTTAATGAGCATGTTAATGATCATGTAGTTTTCTAGGACTCTAGGACTAGTTTTCTAGGCAAAGTATATAAAAGCAAAAATGCCTTGTGTGAATGTCAGATGGCCATAAATAATAGGTGGGGGACCACATGTGAACATATGTGGTACAAGCACTCCAGCATGCTTGCATCACAGAGGCCTGCACCCTCATAGCAATTCAAGATGTAACATGTGTAAATTGGGGTGCCAGTGGTGGAGTGGTTAGCACATCTGTCTTAGCCACTGTATATCTGGGAAACAAGAGGTATTGGGTTTGATTCCCCCCCCCCCCCCCCCCCATTGCCCGCCTTTCCTGCTAAGGTGAGAGTCGTGAGACACTACAAAGCTCCAGCAGCTGGGTATGTTGTAAAGCTCCAATGATGATGATGAATATGTGAAAATTGGTGGATTCAAGTTATTCTGTTTACCCAGTGCTTCCAAGTTAAAAGGGTAGCAGGCATGAGCTTGCAACTGGCAACCCATTTGCTGACTGATGCAGTGGCACATTCTCAAAAATGCTCTCAAGTTCTCAGTATGCTACTTTTGGTGAAACACCATTGGTCCAATGGTGATTGCAAAGAGGAGTCAAATCACCCATTCATGCGCTACCCATTGGAGGTATCATTCAAAAGTATGCTTGCTTATATTATGTTGGTTGTGGACATGCAGCCATGTGTTAAAGTGCTGCAGTACTTGCCCCCTCCATTATCTGTGCAGCCTGCCAGACATATAATGGGGCAAGTCTGTACATTCTGTTGCTGACCCTGACTGTGCAGGGATAATGCACACATGCAAATGGGCTATATTTAAATCATCCACGGACATCATATACTTTGTCACACCATTTGTGCTGCAAATACATGGTCAGGTTTATCTAGTTTCTTGTTAATGTTTAGATTCTGGTTGTCTGCCATTGGTACTTGCTTAGTATTTGTGCATATGCCTGGTCTACAGTATGTGCGCATTGTCTCCGTTTTATCATATTTTGTGTCATGTTGGTCATGTTTCTCCTGTTTGCTGCATGAAATGTTTTAAAGCATTTCAAAAGGTTATGAAAAGTATTGACTGACATTCGGAGGCGGCATAGTCAGCTGTTCGCGCGTTTGTCGATGGTCATGTGCGATACATGGCCGTTGCCGTGCCTTACTGTTGAACTGGTGTTTCGTGCTCCGCTACGGGGAGCTCGCGCCGACACCATTCACTGGAAAAGCTGCCTGCGTGATAAAATATGTTTTGTTTTGCTGAATGACATTAAGGTTGTACGTGGTTTCGATGTGCCCACCATTTCTTCTGTCGAGCAACTTGCTTTTGTTACAAGACTGTTAGAATTCTTGGGCAAGTCACAGATAGGTGTTTGTGAACACGGCCATTGTCGCCCAGCAGGTGGCGCTAGGATAACAGACCCCGTCAACAGCTAAAGGGGGGGGGGGGAGGGAAGGGGACAGGCTATCTGCTGAAGTCAGTGGCGAGCGTCACCTCCGAACTGCACCGCCATTGACATGACCGGCACCTGCTCCCCCAGGATGGACGCGCACGCCATCATCAAGCACCCGATGACGACTGAAGCGTCGATGAAGAAGATCGAGGACAACAACACGCTCGTCTTCCTGACGCACCTGCGCGCCACCAAGCGCCAGGTCCGCTCGGCCGTCAAGAAGCTGTACGACATCGAGGTCGCCAAGGTGAACACCCTGATCCGGCCTGACGGCCAGAAGAAGGCGTACGTCCGACTGGCTGCCGACTACGACGCGCTCGACGTGGCCAACAAGATCGGAATCATATAGGTGGCTGTATGTGCGTGGGGGAACAATACATGGACGACCATGGTGAGCGTCTTTCCGGGCTGTTGGAGGGAGTGGGGTGGAGGACCGGAGTGGAAGGCGTGCTGCACGGACGGTGGGCTGGAAGTGACTGCCGCGCGGCACGCGTCGGGGCGGCTGTCGTCACGCAGACGCGACACATCGCTGGAGCTGTCGCCTGGATACAGACGGTAGTGATATTACGACGTTCGGACGGTGCATGGGGAAGTGGATAACGACGCCAGTGGCGGCCCACTTCTAAAGAAACATGGTGCGTACCGCTAACCGGAGCAGCGGCTGAGTTAATTCTTCCGACGAAAGTCGGTTTTGCAGCCAACGAATGCTGCTCTTCATCTGACCAGCTTCCCATGGCAGCCCTCGCCTGTCATCCGGTACGCCAAAGTATCAGTGCATAAGCTCTTACGCAGTCCAAAGTTTTGATGCATAAGCTCGTGCGCAGTCCAAAGTATCAGGTGCATAGCTCGTACGTAGTCCGAAAGTCTCAGTGCATGAGCTCGTGCGCAGTCCGGAGTCTCAGGTGCATAAGCTCGCACGCAGTCCAGTCGCAGGTGCATAGATTCGTACGCAGTCCAGTCTCAGTGCATAAGCTCGTACGCAGTACAAAGTCTCAGTGCGTAGGCTCGTACGCAGTCCGGAGTCTCAGTGCATAAACTCGCACGCAGTCCAGTCTCAGTGCATAAGCTCGGACGCAGTCCAAAGTCTCAGGTGCATAAGCCCGTACGCAGACTACGTACGTATTGTCCAAAGTCTCAGTGCATAAGCTCATGCGCGGTTGTGCATAAGCAGCTGTATGCACGCAACTGTTCTTGTCGGATAAAGTCCGTCCGACATGACTTATGCTAAAGTCTAAATATTGATCGTAAAGTACAAGTGTGCCTGGGTAATGCTCTGCCGGAAATGCTCTAGGATAAATGGACAACCCAACGACCGAATTATGCACCGTCTATTTTCTGATTTCGTTGGAATTCTGTGCCTGCGTGATAATCTAAGGTATATGATTTAATCTGCAATTTTAATTCCGGCATACAGATTTAAAGGTAAGGCTTGGATGAGTGCTGGGAGCGGTACTAACAAGATCCTTGTCAAGCGTCCTGACGGAGGACAATGTTTGTGAGAACTGTTTAGGTACGTGTCTGGATTCGTCACCTGTCAAGGAATAACAATTTGTCACTTATTGTTCTGCAGCCAAAGTTGAAAGGTTACTTTTCGGCCTACCAAGAAGACAGGGAATTAAAATTCGCTTTACCATATATTTTACATTTTTCCAACCCGCGAGAATGTGTCTCAACCCACTATTGATGTTGTCGAGTGTGCTTCGGGACAGAAGCACTGCTTTTTGCTCCCTATTGTGACCATGTCGGGCGGGGTCGGTCAAATGGCGCATATCAAAGCACCAACTTGTTAGATAACGGCAGTTAATGACACAAGTTTAGTATGCTGTTTCAAGCTCACGTGTCAGAAGTTTTAAGGCCATCACCCTTGCGATTTAAAGGTCTGATCCGATTCCAATCAGAAATCGGCTTTGGTCTCACGTGCAAGTTCTTGGGTTATGAAGACAAGTGAAGTTGCCTAGCTACTTACATGCGTGTTCTTAATTATTTGTCGAACATCTTCCCTATATTATTAGAGAAACAATGCGTGTGTGTGAGTGTGTGTGCGTGTGTGTCCGCCATTTCATTGGGATCACCTGCAGGCTTTTCAAAAACAGACATCAGGCACCCACGAAGTATTTGGCTTGCTTAGGTTAACGCCCTCGCAAACCAACGGCCACGCAGTAGCGATGGAGCTTTGTGGAGATGGGGGAAAACGATGTTTTTAGTCGCTTTTTCATATACAGGCGATATTTTAAATCGCTTTTTTCATGTACACCCCTAGGTGCATGAATTAAATCTTAAAGGAGAATGTGTTGCCTTCTGTCAGCGAGTAATGCTTGTGTTGAGCCACAAAATACTACAGCGTTTTCGAAAATGCCTTACACTTTTTCTTTAGCCAAGCCCGAATAGCTTGCAGAGCCAACTATGTGAGGCTAACCATTTGGCCCATTTCGACGGAAAATTCGGACCTGCCAATCCTCCGGGGAACCGTCTACGCGTCATCAAATGCATGGACACAGTCATGGCCGTATGATGACGGAGACGTTCGCCTCCCGCCAGCTGGCATCTGCCAGGCCGAATAATCAGCGGCCTCAGGGATGCAACACCAGGTACCTACCACCTGCTAGATTGGCGAGAGCGCAAACATAAATATATGGGTAATATACACACCCAATGATTGACCGCCAAATCGCAAGCTTGCAACGAGTGCTTGCAACGATTTTAATCAAGCAATTTAGGCACTAACGGTGATTACAGAAGGTGCCGCAGGGGGCTTTTGACATCTCTAAACTATTGGCTCGGGGTGCATCCACCTGTCAGTCCCATTTGGCGTTGTGCCGTGCCCGGGCCGAGAGATGTGTCACCGAATGGTTGAACAAGGGGCGCGGGTGCACGAGGTGGTTTTCTACAGGTAGCTCACGGCCCACCGCGGTCCGGGGTTCGGGCGTGGCACGTGCCTGAAGATTCGTTATAGCCCCATTGGTTTTGCAAGGGTGGCCTCGAAATGTAAACCACAACAAAGCCGACGAGCGGCCATCAGGAATCGTGGCCACATCCCGGTAACCAGCGGCCGGGGCGACAGGAAGCTCACACGTCAGGAAATGGGGCAAGAACAGGAAATTGAAGACGTCAGGAAACAGGAAATTGAACAGGAATCGCGTGGTGATGCATATGCGATCGTACACGCCACGTATCAGGTGAACAGCAGCAGTCAAGACGGCACTAACCGTTTTGGTCGGTTTTCACGTCTTAAACCACATCTCGGCAGTCAGGGCGAGTAGAAGCTCGAATGTAATTTAAAAACTGCAATCAACGTACCGTCTGCAATTCATGTCGGCAACACGAGTGTTTGCGACTCAAGGCTGCGCCAGTAATCGTACAAGGCAGGAATGTCTGCAGGTCAAAAAACGACGCCGAATGCAACACGCTGTGGTCGAAACTACAGCCAGGGTCGTGGCCACTCTGAGATCACCGTGTGCACTGATTTATTACGTATATTTACCTCACATATGACGGGATATTTGACGCATGGCTCACATGTCCTGACACATGTACCACACTCGTTGGCTAATGGGACCCACAAGCCGCTTAGTGGCCCGTTTGGTCGCCTAAGATATTTAGTTGCATCCTCACGACCCTCTGGACTCGGGATTTTCCTTAGTTGCTCAGAGGCCTTGTCGCCGCTCAGACCCCCCACCCCACCGTCCAAGAGTCCTTCTGGCTACTCGTGGGTCCCAACAACCCGCCCAGTGGTACTCTGAACGTTCAGAAGCTTATTAAACGCTCAAGGCTCTTGGTGTGTCCAGTGTCCTTGGCCGCCCCGAGGCTTATCTAGCCGTTGAGAAGCCACCCTGATCACCGAAGAACCCTCCATACGCTGATATATGTATCAGCCTGCTCACTGCCCCCCTAGCCAGCCAGAGGTCTTTTAGCTGCTCACTGGACGTCTGGCTATTGAGGGGTCGCCCTGGCCACCGAAGAGACCCTGACTTCTAAAAAGTTCCTCTGGATGTCCAAAATCTGACAGGCTGCGCAGGGTTTCTTCAGGCGTCCAGAGCATTTTACTGCCAGTGTTATAATATTCGCCCTCTTGAGGCAAGATATCGATATTTGTTAACGCTTTTGCCTCCGCGCTCGGGCTTCACTGCATCTTGCTCCTTCCCTTGCTCAGAGCCGGTCAATGAGCATCGAATCGGGCGCCTCTGGCGGCCAACCTAGCAAACAAGCTTCTCAAGTGGTAGAGATAGCCATTGCACTTGACGCGCTATTAAAGCCCAAGAACTAGGCGTCTCGGGCTCGACAAATGGGCAGGGAAGGTCAGATGTCGGGGTCGGGGTCAAGGATAATGGATTAAGGCCAGTGAGTGACATGCAGGACCGCCGGAGAGTCAGGAATCAGGCAGCATGCAGTTATATTATACAAAAATATAGGTGTACGCAACTGGATAAAGAAAAGTGTGTACTCTCGTCTTACAAAAAAGCGGATCAAGTCGGCTTAAGTGAAGGAGGTGCGGAGGAATGCACGGCGGACCAAGGAAGGTAGGTAGGTAGGTAGGTTTGCTGTTGTATGGGTTACAGGACGATCATTCGGAAACGCGTATTGAAGCAGGCGTTCCATGCGCATTATACAGCAGTAAGCAGCGATGCTGATCCATAAATATGCAGCGAGGCAATTATGCGACCGGTTTGCAATCAGTCAAGGGATCAGCCGGTGCAGGGCAGTGGCTGCCGACGGCGGGCGAGAGCAGGGCTCAGAAGAGGTATATCCGAAAGAAGGGCCTTTATTCTCTGGCATGCTTTTTGCGGGAGGGACTCCGGTTTTAAGATTTTAGTCACTTTGTTTTTTAACAGGCAGTATTTGAATATTTATAATTCATTTCTGCCTGACGTGCTGCGACCAAACCTTACCTCTTTAAAGCAGTCGGCGAAATCCAGGTTCACAAAAACTGTAGTACGCTATGGGTCATGGGTTCCAATCCTAAATTTTGATCAGCCTGTACCCAGGCCGTATTTTGACACATACACTGTGCAGGCAGGAGCATCTCGTGACCCAAAATGTCTACCCGCTCGTGTAATTTTGCCTTCCCGGTGGAAACAATGCTGAAAAGAACGAAGGACTTCAGGAAACCGGGTGGTGTAATTTACCGAATGGTATAGATGAGTCGGGTGGGTCAGATTGTGCACCAGTTCACAACAGCTGTATGAACAGGAAACCGTTCGAACCACCGAGACCTGACATGAATCCTGAAAAACACCTCAAAAACCGCTTTAAGCGATGTTTGTGCAAGAGTGCAAGTCTGCGGCCGAGAGCATCTATTCGAACTTATACTGTTGCCCGTTTTCCCAATCGGAAAGTTGTATTACAACTTGTACCTACTGCAACTTAATCCCGTTTCACTGTGACCCCTTTGCCGA